CGTCATAAAGAGGATACGTCGACCGTATTCTATAGAAGACCCAAAATAGAAACATGTTGCGAGGATATTAAAAACCAATAAAAAAATTAGTCCAATTGAAAAATAGCTAAACAATGGCCCAAAATTTACTCAACAAACTTGAGATGGTCATTAGCAAATATATAATTTGCGCGTATATACAAGGGCCCAATTTTGCTCGCTAGGCCTTGAATTTTAGGGCCGGCCTGAAACAAATTATAATTTGAAAGTATGACTCATTATGGTCTCAATTGATTAATTCACTTATTAGAGCCACTACAACACTCTATCTGCATAACTAAATGTACTCAGACTGCGTGCTATGTTTATATTTTATTGACAATTTGTACATCCATGTACGTTATTTACTCCATAAAACACACCCTTTTACATTGGCGGCTACATTAATATCTCCTCTGTACTAGACATGACTCAGAAGAATTGAAAAATGACCCTTCTATGCAGTTGTATCGCTTAGAATCATAGTCGTCAAAGCTAAGTGCCGTGATACAATCCTAAGTTCTCTTATACGTTACGGTTTTTAGTTTTATTAATATACTACTAATTTATATTTTTAAGATATATTTCATAAAAATAATAAACATATTATTACTACCATAATGTATGAGAGAATTGCAAAAATGTTACTACAAGTAAACTGTACCGATTGTATCTATAAATATTTGTAGTGAGAAGGTATATTTAAATGCTGTTAGGGGTTTTGAAAATTCAATTAAATTGCGGACGGATGTTGATAAGAACATTGTGTGATTGAAAATTAGATAATGCAGGGGATCAGGAATTTTGACAAATAAAAATGCTGATGTTGTTCTTTTTTTAATAAAAATTATAGAAAATTGAGATTGAGATTATAAACACTCACAGGTCTTGGGGTTAAAAACCCCTTTTGCTTATATATAGTAAGGAGAGAGTATAGACTAGATAGAGCTATAGATATCTTTATATTCTGCTAAAAAATAAAAAAAATAAGATTAACAAGCAGATTGATATAAGGAAAGGTCGCAAAAGATATTTAGAGAATTTAATCAAATGGCTGATGTTGCAGAAACAAAAAAATTGTAATTATGGAGAAACTTACAAATGGGCAAGACATAAGAGTAAATGAACATCTATAGGGGTATAAATAATATATAAATTGTAATATTGCAAAGTATACACTGCGCAGAACTATTAATGATTTCGT